TAGCTGAATGAATGAAGGGTGACATGCATCTTCCTCGTTTTTCTTTCGTCTTATTCATGACCACAAACAAAAATATCAACCAATGTTTGTGTCACACATCAGATTTAAAGACAATAAACGTATGGAGGAAAGAATTAGCAGATTCGAATGCAATTGCGTTGGTCAAATCATGATCAAATTGGCAACCATAGGTTGACTGCAGTTAAAAGAGAGGGCATCTGGAAGAATCGATGGACTATATAGAATTTACAGCATGTTTGACAATAAAGAATAATATGTATTATAGGCTGGGCATGGTGGCTCACGCCTGTAATCCCAGCACTTTGGAAGGCCAAGGCGGGTGGATCCCGAGGTCAAGAGATTGAGACCATCCTGGCCAACATGGTGAAACCCCGTCTCTAATAAAAATACAAAAATTAGCTGTGCGTGGTGGCACGCGCCTGTGGTCCCAGCTACTCGGGAGGTTCAGGTGGAAGAATTGCTTGAACCCAGGAGGCGGAGGTTACAGTGAGCCGAGATTTCACCACTGCACTCCAGCCTGAAGACAAAGCAAGACTCCGTCTCAAAACAAAAAAAAAAGAATAATATGTATTATATTATTTTTACATTATGTGCTACACATTATTTACATCAGTGAAACTTATAATAAGTTTATATATATGCATAAGACCCCCCGACTCTGGAGAGCGGATTGTTAAACATTTACCAGCACACCACTGCCCGGAGTTAGGAGGTCAGTAAAGTGACAGAGCAAAGGCATCAGAGGAAAGGCCAGGGGGTCGGCGGAGAGGAAGCAGAGCCCGTGTCCCAGCTGCCAAGTGGGAAAGTGTTTCAAAGACAGGTGATCATCTGGGCCAAGTGCCTCTGACAGGTCAACGAGGGGAAGAAGAGAAAGACCCTCGGGCTTGGCAACAGTGGGGTTTCCCCGGTGTGGTGGGGAGGAATGGTGATTAGAGGCAGCCTGCAGAGGCAAAGAGAAGAAATAGTTGGAGGTGTCACGGGAGCAGAAGAAATGAGGGGGTCAAGGCGGAATGAGTTTGGGATGGGCGTTATTCACCATGCCTGTGCTGGGTGCAAGGAAGGGAGAAGGGGCAAGGCGGGTGATGCCCTTGAGTAGGGGATGTGCTCCCAGGAGGGCTGGTCTTGGGCAAGAGCCCAGGTGGCTAGCCCCTTGACCCAGGATGGCAGGCATGGCCATGGGCTAAGAGGCAGGCAGGCTGGGAGATGAGGTGGTAGGAGGAGGGAGGTTGCGGCTCTGAGTGATGAGCGGGAGGAGGGGGAGGCTCCCGGAGATAGGAGAAGATGGGAAATAGTTCACCAGGTCACTGAAAGAGAAAAGAGCCTGGAGAAGCGCTGTAGGAGCCCCGGGTGTGTCTCGCATCCCTCGAGGTCGGCAGTCATGAATCCAAGTGAACCACGGTGGGCTGCGTGGTGCAGGTGCAGAGGGCGGAGAGTTGGGTCTGACTGTTGCTGGAGCTCTGCCAGGCAGCTCGAGGGAGGGAAAGACGAGCAAAAGATTAGTGTGTGGAGCAAGGGAGTGGCCGCAGCGGGGGACTGGGATCTGTGCTGATGAAGGGAGGAGGGAACGTGAGGGGTGAGGGACAGCAGTGGGAGGCAGGTAGAGAGGACTCAGGCTTCAAAGGTCACACGTCCTGGTGGGCTGAAGGCTGGTGGCGTTGGTGTGTTAGGATCGAGCTGCAATGTTGGGAAGTGGTGTCCAAGTGATCTGCCCACAGGGAAGCTTGTAGTGGGTGCAGTTTTCTGGTAATGACATTCTACAGGGCCTGCCCCCAGGAAGGAGGGGATGAGGCCAGGTGGTGGACAGGAGCATTGGAAGAAGTCAAGGGACTGAGGGACCAGGGATCAGTACACCATCTACATCTACGTCACTGTCGAAGTATAAACCGGTGAAGGCAGAAGGCTGAGGACATGGCAGGAGCTGGCACCCTCGAGATGAGGACACAGCGACGGTGTGCAGGGGTGTCCCTGCAGATGGGCAGTGTAGTCTGCAAAGCTGGGGGATTAGGGAGTAAAGAAAGATGGGCCAGGAGTGGTAGCTCACGCCTGGAATCCCAGCGCTTTGGGAGGCCAAGGCGGGCAGATCACGAGGTCAGAAGATCAAGACCACTGTGGCTAACACAGCGAAACCCCATCTCTACTAAAACCACACACAAAAAATTAGCTGGGTGTGGTGGCACATGCCTGTAGTCCCAGCTACTCAGGAGGCTGAGGCAGGAGAATCACTTGAACCCGGGAGGCGGAGGTTATGTTGAGCTGAGATCTCACCACTGTACTCCAGCCAGACTCAAAGAAAGACGATGATCTGGAAGGGACATTGAGGAGCATGGAGGACCCTTGCCCATCTCCAGGCCCAGGGGCTGGAGGGAGTAAGGCGTAAGCAGTCACCATGGAGATGGCCGCAGGGGAGGCCACGCCTACTGTTTGGGCAGGCCTCCTTTAGAGCACAAGTCAAGGAAACTCTCTGGGGTGGGACTGAGGATACCCTGGAGATGATGGTGGCTGGGATTGAAAGGGAGTTGAGGGGGATGGGGAATGGGGTCAGACCAGAGGATGAGAGTCCAGGAGACTTGGGGTTTCCATGGTAACTGATGTAAATGATGAGGAAGAGCAGGCAAGATGGAGGACCCCGGAAAGTGCCGTGGAATGTGGTGATTGTAAATGGGGAGGTGGGTCTTGCCAGCAGCCTGCGGGGACTCTGGGGCCCCTGTCCACTCCTGCCTCATCTGTAAAATGGGGATAATAATCTTGGCTTTGGGTGGTTGCGGTGAGCATTAGGGAGCATTAAGTAGGACGTGGGTTTGTTGGGATTAGGACCGTTTGTCACCACAGTCAGTGGAGTAATGTTTTGATGGGGCCAAGTGACCATGGCAGAGGTTGGGGAGGGGGTCTGGTTTCTCCAGAGGGCTGAAATTTGGGTGGGTTTCTAGGGGCCTAGGAAAGAATGAAGGCAAGAGAATGTGCAGAACACAAAATTCCTCCAGCAGCATCTTTGCGGTCAGGTGGATGTCTGTAAGTGGACTTGACCTTGGTGGTGTCCTGGTGGCTGATGGCTCTGCCGCGGGGGATGATGTCGGAGAGCCCTGAAGTGCAAAGGAAGAACAAGCAGCAATGTGTAGTGCTCTGGCTTGACCTCCCCTCTAGGATGTGAGCGCCTTGGGCCCAAGAGCCTCCTGGAACTCTGGGGGTTACTGCAGTGCCTGGCACACAGAGGCCACAGTTCATGCTTACGCAGGGGATGAAGAAGAACGGGATGCCACCCTCAGAGGCCCTGTTGGTTCCGCTCTGGGTGCCCTGTAGCCTGAGTTTGCAGGGCATCCCCCTCTGAAGCTGTGGGCCAGGAGCGCTGGCCCCGACCAGGTGTGGCTGGGAGCTGCTGGTGATAGGAGGAGTAGCGTGGGAACCTGGCAGATGAGTGCCCCAGGCTGGGGTCAAAGCGGATGGGAGGCTTCTCAATGTGCATTTCTTGATCCCAGAGCTCTGGTGTATCAGGTGAATGCGGTGTGTTGGGTGATAGAAAGAAGTGGCACCGGGTACTGGAGTTAGTCAAGTTCTAGATCTCACTCAAGTTCAGGGGCTTGAGAACCCCCCTGCAGGGGGGCAGAAAGTGGGATCCGTCCATTCATTAACAAGTGTTTATGGAGCACCTGCCATGTACCAGACACTGTTATAGGTGCTGGGGATGCAGCTGTGAACAAAACAGATAAAATTTCTGCCCTTGTGGAGCTGACCTTCTCGAAAGAGAGATGGACAATTGACTGGCATTGGGGTGGAAGAACTGCTTACTGGGAGGTGGAGTTTGCAGTGAGCCAAGATCACATCACCACACTCCAACCTGGGCAACAGAGTGAGATTCCATCTTAAAAAAAAAAGGAATCGGCCGGGTGCAGTGGCTCATGCCTGTAATCCCAGCACTTTGGGAGGCCGAGGCAGGTGGATCACGAGGTCAAGAGATCGAGACCATCCTGGCCAACATGGTGAAACCCCGCCTCTACTAAAAATACAAAAAAAATTAGCTGGGCGCGGTGGCGTGCGCCTGTAGTCCCAGCTACTGGGGAGGTTGAGGCAGGAGAACTGCTTGAACCCAGGAGGCAGAGGTTGCAGTGAGCCGAGGTTGTGCCACTGCACTCCAGCCTGGCACCTGGTGACGGAGTGAGACTCTGTCTCAAAAAAAAAAGGAATCATGGGAAGGGAGATGGAGGGTGACGAGGGGAAAGACAGCCCAGGTGCAGCATTAAACGGAGCGATGGCAGGTGCTTGCTGAGAAGGTGACACTTAGGCAAAGCCCTGAAGAGGGTGAGGGAGGGAGGCTTGTGGCATCTCGGGGAGGAGCAGTCGACGTGGCAGGAGCAGCCAGTGCCAAGGCCCTGAGGCAGGACAGCCTGGCATCTTCCTGACACAACGAGAAGGCCAGCGTGGCTGGAGCGGACTGAGCCAGGGGAAGTGTAAGAGGGAGGAGGAGGTCAGCGAGGTGTCAGGGGCACGTCAGAAGGGCCTCGTGAGCAGCTCGGTGAAAGGAGGATTCTGCTTGTGCTGGGTTTGATGGAAGCCACTGCTTTCAAGCAAAGGAACAACAAGCTCTGCTGTGTGCAGGACTGCAGGGGCCCGGGTGGGACCGCGGACCAATGAGAAAGCTGCTCGGCGATCCAGCCGAGGAGTGATGGTGGCTTGGGCCGCAGAGACGCCAGTGGAGGTGGTGAGAGGTGGTGGGTTAGTGGATTTCCTGTTGAGCTGGAGAGTTTGGAAGTGTCAGATCTGGAAGAGACTTGGGTGTGGGCTGGGGTTGTCCAAGCCTTTCCCATCTATGTCCTGGTGCTCTGATGCCCAACCCAGGCTGGTCTCCTGGCTAGTAGCACTGCCCTGTGCCTTCCTGGCCTGGCTGTTGAGGGGTGCTGTTTGAACGGCCTGGCAGCCCCAGGCCCCACCCCACTGTGGCCACCCTCCTGAGTGCTGGGTCTCTTCCCCTCTTCCTTCTCTGCCAGTGATGTGCCCAAGGGTGCCAGCAGCTTCGGGGTCTCTGGGAGCTCTGGTGTGGAGGTCTTCATGGCCTGCAATCGCACACACGTGACAAAGCCCATAGGCAAGGCCAGCTGGCCCCTGGACACCGATGCAGACGTGGCCGTATCTGTGGGCACAGCCAGTAAGGAATTAAAGGACTTCAAGGTAAGAGGCCACTTTCTCATAGAAAAGGGTGGGATCTCCCCACCCCCATCCAAGGTAAGACCCCCACCGTGGCAACTCCCATTCCAAAGCTCCCAACTTAACCAAAGCTCACAAAGCTTCTCACACAACATACACAAAACATATCCTGATACAACTCCACAGACGCCCAAAACACGCAAACCTCCACCACCGCCCCCATAGCACACGTGTACACACAAGTACTCCCACAAAACACAAATTCTCCTAGTCACCCCCTCAGATTCACTGACAACCTCACATTAATCCCTGTATTCAGCCGACAGACAGACCCCGAAAGCAGTCCCGCTGCTCTTGTGTGGGCAGGACTGCACAGCAAGAACCCGTGCACGTGCACACGCCCGTGTCCACACCTTTGGGTGCGTGGATTTCCCGTGCCCGGCCCACCTTCTCTCTCACTGCCTGCCTGAAGCTCAGACGATTCCCTCTTCACTCGCCCCAGCCCCAGGCACCCACGGCACACAGTGACCCACCAAATCCTAGACATGGCCCTTTCTCCCCCACAGGGAAAAGGCAGGGACGGAGCAGCTGCTGAGAGAGGGGCTCAGGAGCCCGCCATGGGCTCAGATCCCACCTCCTCTGCTTGCTTGCTGAGGGACTGCTAGGCCTGCAGGCAGGGCCTGGACCCTCTCATCCCAAGGGTTCCCTGGGATGGCCCACGTGGGAGGCTTGGCGTGGAGCCTGGACCATGCTATAAGCTCTGTGACCACGGGCTGTGATGATGGAGGGGCTCTCGTTCCCATTTTATGTAGGAAGCACCTGAGGTGTGGAGGAGCTGAGAGACTTGCCTAAGTCGATGGAGCCAGTTGCTCCTCCCCCATCTGCCAGCTGCTCCTGCTGGGAGCTGCCCCGCCCC